TATTAATAAATATATTAATCTATTAATTTTATTATATTTAATTCTTATCTATTAACATATATATCTAAGTATCTTATAAAGATTATTAATAAAAAAAATTTTTATTTTTATATCTATATACACCTCTTTTATATTATTTATATTAATAAAATATTATCTTATACTGGTGCTGATTATTTCTAGATTAATATATATAATATTTTTAATAAATCCTAGAATATTATTACTTATATAAATATTAGTTAGATTATTCTGTTTATCTATATCTATAATATTAATTATATTATTATTATTAAGATTTTTTATTATTTTATATACAAGTTTCCTGGCTGTTAAAAGATTATTATCTTTAAAAACTAGAATTTTAATTCTATTTATTATAAGGACTATGTCCAGCTCTGCTAGAAAAATAAATTTAAATAAAATAATATTTATAGTCTAGTTCCTGTATTTAAATAAATTTATTAAAAATTATAAAAAATATAATTAATATTTTTAAAAACTAAAAAATTATTTTTCCTGGTTTTTATTTATTATTAATTAAAGTCTAATTATTTTTTTATAATATATTCTGTAAAAGCTTTTTTTTAAATATTTTATATTTAATATTTTATTAATTAATAACAACTAGCTAAGCTACTGTAAATATTTATTTATTTAAAAAAAAATTTTTAAAACTGCTTGAAATCTCTTATATTATTTAATTTATTATTTTTTTAATATTAATAATATTTTTCTTTCTAAATTCTTTACTTTTTATAAGAATTATCAGTTTCCTGTTTTAAATAATTTATCTATCTATTAAAAATCTAATAATTAACTTATTAAGTATGGATACAAGACTAATATATATTATAATAATTAAATTTGATAAGATTTTATTAAGATTATATTTTATAAAATAAATATTAAAAAAATTCAGAATCTAATATTTATAGATAAATATAATTTTAATCTATCTTATATAAAATATCTGATTAATAATCTGATCTGTAATAATTTTTAAGATAATTAAAAAAAAAAAATAAAAATTACAGTATATTATCTAAAAATTAAGTCTAGTTAAATTTATTAGATAACTTATTATTAATATTATATAATAATTAGAATTATAAATAAAATCTTTAATAATACAAGTCTGCTTATTAATAATAAATTTAATATATATAATTATATAATTAATATCTATCTCAGTAAGAATTACTAAGATATATATTTATTCTTCTAGAAAATAAATCTAAACAATTATCTTTTTTTTTAAAAAAAATATTTAATTTTATAAAATAGATAGTATTATCTATATTTTAAATATATTTTTTAAGAATTATTTTAAATTACTAGTATTAAGTTCTATCTTATTTATAGAGTTATTAATTATTAATATTTTTATATAAGTCACCTTCTTAGCTTAATTATAAAAGTCTTTTATAAAAAATTTTTTTATTATAATCTTACTCTCCAGCTTAAATCAGATATAATTTATTTATTTATAATATTAAATAATACTGAACGTCCCCACTACCTATATTAAATTTAAATTAATTTTAATATTTATAAATTTTAATTAATTAAAATTTATTATTAATTTATACAGCTTGCCCATGTATTAGTATATTTATTTATTATTTTTTTTATTTATAATAAAAATATTTTATTTATAGACAGTCTTATAGGTCTTATATATTATAAATTTATTAGATTTAAATACTAGTATTATAACTTTCTTAAAAACTGGAGATATATCTACTCTAATTTTTTAAATTAATTTAATTAATAGTATTAATTCTTATATTCTTCTGACTATTATTTATACCAGAATTTTTTAAAATTAATATAAAATAGTATTAGTATTATTCTTTTTATTTAAAATATGCTTAATCAGGAACTGCTGATTATAAAAAATCTTTTTATTATTATTATTAATTATAATATCTATTATTTAGTTTACCTGTATAATATTTATTATAATATTTATTTAGAAATTAGACTAGAGAAGAAATTTTTTATATTCTAAAAAGTCTTTTATATTATTATAAAATAATATAATTGTTAGTAGTAGTCTGAATCCTGTATATAACTATATATAAATAAAAAATAATTCTAATAATAAATTCTATAGTATATATACTTTATTAAATACTATAATTTTAAAAAAACTATACAGATTCTTAAGAAAACTAGCCAGTATTCTTAGATTAATTATATTATATTTTTATTTCTTTATTATATATTATATTTTAATTATTTATAAACTATATCAGATTTTTAGTATTTAATAAAATATAATTATAATTATTTTAGCACTGTCAACACTGCCTTTAAATATAGAATATTTTTATATTAATTTATTTTTAATAAAATCTTCTTCTTAACAGCAGTTATTATTATAATATAATATAATAGTAAATAAATCAGTTATTAATATAATTTTATTTATTTATTAATTAATTAAATGGAGCAGAACTATAATTAAAATTAAATAATTTTTTAAAAATTTTGTTTTATCTCTGACAGCTTTATTATATTTATACTTTTATTAATTAAAAATTTATATTTTATTAGCTATAAAAATTTTTTATAATATTCTGATATAATATTTATATATAGAAAAAAACTGATAATCTTTTAAATTTTTTTTATTTTAATAATATTAGTAATTATTATCTCTATTACTAAGCTAGTAAGCTTTATATTAACTATATAATTTATATAAATTAATTATTAAAACTTTAATTATTAACTGTAAATTATATTTTTAAATCAGAAATTATTTTTATTAATATCTAGATTTACATAGATTTTATTTTTATTATTAAACTAGTATTTCTCTGTATTTAACTATTTCTTATATATTATAATTCTTTTATAATTCTTAAATATAGATTATATCAGAAGATCATTAATATCTATATTAATATTAAAAAATTATTAGAAATTCTCTGTTATCTAGTAAACAGTAGACTTAAAAATATTATTTTATAATATTTTTAATATATTAATAATCTTCTTTATTTTCTTTTATCTTAAAATATTACTAAATTATATTTTTATATTTAATATCTGATTAATATTAGTATTATTAACTATATTAATCAGATATTTTATCTCTTTTAATATATATAATTTTAATAATTAAAATATAATTTTTATTCTTATATATATCCAGAATAAATCTTTAAAATTAAAAATATATAATTATTACTCCAGAATAAGCTTTTTTTTATTTATTAATAATTTATATTTCTAAGCTATTTTTTTTTTATTTTATTAATTAATAAATAGACTAGACAGACTAAAATTATCTAATTTTAATTTAAATTTTAACTTTATTTCAGTAGTATTTATAATAATAATAATTTTAATTATAATATTACTAGTAGTTCCTGCAGTAGTAACAGTCTTTATAAATTTTATTTAATAAATTTTAGTAGACTCTTACTCTATAATATTTTAGATTTCTTTAATTAGTTATAAAAGATTTTTATAAATTATTTCTGGAATATTTATTTAATAAATATATTTTAAATAATATACTTTCTTTACTTAGTTTATATATCTAGAAAGGATTATATATTTATATAAATATATTTTTTAATATTTATATTATTATATTTATCTTATTAATATACAGATTTTTCTAATAAAAGATATTATTCTTATAACTCAAATTCTCAGATTTTATAGAGTATATAAAATATATAATATAATTATTTATATTTTATATAGTTTTGTCAATATACCTTTAGTTATATTTAATTAATTCTTATATTTTATTTTAAATTATAAATTTTTATATACAGGCTAAACCAGCTCTATACTTTTATATATTATTATTAATTTAATTAAAATATTTTTACAGTTCTAACTAATATAATTTAATAAAATTAGATTATAATTATTCTCTTTATTTCTTCTTATTATTAAGTTTAAGAAATTTAATTAAGTCTTTTTTATCTTTTTTAGTAATTTCTTAAACTAAATTCTCTTTTATTAAAAATATTTTTAATTTTTATTTTATATTTATACCTGTTTTTTCTAGATTAATATTTTATTTTTATATTATTTATAAAAGCTTTTTAACTTATTTATATTTTAATTAATAATATTTTTAAATTTATTTTTTATTATACCAAATTAGCCTTCTGCAGAAATATTTAAAACTTTATATAAAAATTATAAAAATAAAAATAATATTTAAAAGAGAGAAGTTATAAATAAAAGAAAATATAAAAGAAAAAAATTATAAAGAAAAGAGTTATAGAGAAAAAAGTTATAAAAAGAAAAAAAAATATAAGATCTTTAATAAAAAAAAAATAAAATAATAGTAAATAAATTATAAAGAATATATTTAATATAGTAAATAATAAATAAAATAGCTCTTATTAAATAGATTTAGAAAAAAAACTAATCAGCTTTCTACAGTAGTAAATAATTATAAAATGAGCTTTAAATAATTATGTACTTAGATATAGTTTATATATATAATATAAATATTAATATAATTATTATATACAACATAATAGAATATTTATTATATACTTTAATCAGTAATTATTAGTAACAGTTATGCAACTGGCCATAACTCCCGGCAACTTACGCCAGCAGCCTACTATGTATTACTGAGGCTATACTAGTATCACAGATGTTCACATCTGCTTGTTAGTAGTCGTTCTCATACAGCCAAGCATCAATGTTATAAACAAATAATCACAATGAGGATCAAGGTGCTTATTTGTCCAAATCTCCTAAATAGACTAAATTCAAAGCCCTAGCAAGATGGTGAAGAGATGCTGAATCTGGTAGTTTGGAATAGAATTTCCTAAAACAGACAAGCCCCGGCTATCATCGGGCGCGTGGAACAAGGAAGGCGGCACTAGAGGCGGTATAATACAACCGACAGAAAAGCATTGCCCGATCATATCACGTGCCTCAGGTACCTTATCCCAATCGGAGTCCTAGATGGCATCTCTCCATATCTCCCCGCAGCGCATATATTCATTGACGATGTTCTCGCGCCCGATCTCCTCATGGGGTCGGCTTCCTTGGTCGGGCCCCGGCCTCCGCCCGGCCACCATCACAAATACACGATGTGTTGACTCTGGGAGGAGATTCTTCACTCGCAATTCATGTCTCCGGCAGAATATCAACGCACCTTTCAATACGCCACAGTCGAAAAAGCGCAATGCGTCGACAATGTATGTTGAACGATCGCAATGGCACTAGCAGTTTCCTGTCTAATAGGTTATAGGTACTATACAGCCAGTCTTATTCTCGGAACCGTTGCGCTTGCCTATGGCTCCGTCCCTCTGTACAAAATGGTTCGACAACCCTGCCCTTGAATTCTAGTCTGCGGCAGAGGCTAACGGCTTCACTCATACAGATCTGCCAACAAACCGGCTGGAACGGTCAACCAGTAGCAACTCACCGTGTAGGTGACGGCGATACCTCTTCCCGCGTCACTCCGGTCACCGACTCCCGTCGTTTGAGAATCACGTTTAATGGATCAGTTTCGGATGTTTTACCATGGAAGTTTACACCGCAACAACGTGAAGTGCGAGTTCTTCCGGGCGAGACAGCACTTGCATTCTTCACAGCGACAAACAAGGGCCCAACGGATATCATTGGTGTAGCGACGTATAGTGTCACTCCCGGACAGGTTGCTCCCTACTTTAGCAAGATTCAATGCTTTTGCTTCGACGAGCAGAAGCTGAATGCTGGAGAGTCGGTTGACATGCCGGTGTTCTTCTTCATCGACCCTGACTTTGCCAATGATCCGGCAATGAAGGGCATTGACACAATTACGCTCTCATATACCTTCTTCAGTAAGTCTCCAGATCAAACCAATGATGAGGTATCATGTGGCTAATCAATGTGAAACAGAGGCGCGATATGATGACAACGGTGTCTTGAAGCCATTGCCGTCGAGCTAATGACATGACTGATTGTTATGTACTACATACCAGGAGTCAAGCGACTGGACTCTCTACGACAATAGACTCACAGTAAAATGCTTTTGGAACGTATATACCCGGAATCACCCTGGCCTTGTGACATCCAACGGAATGTCCCAGAGACCTGGCTCGCTCCGATGTGACCCTCCGAGCAAAGTCGGAAGACCCATCTCTCCTCTTGCAAGGGCCAATTATGAAAACCCGAACCTGATGGTCCCAAGCACCCCACTGACCATCTTTGTATCATAGATAGAGCATGTACATACAGAGAACTACTGAAGCTTTTCGTATGGAATGGGCGGGGTGACATATCATGTATAGTATTTAGGCGTTCAAACGTGAAATATGGAATCATTGTTATACATCCATCACCTCAATGTAGACAATGGTTTTTAGTGTTTCTCTGGCTACTACTTACTTGACCGTCTCGATTGTAGTAGATCTGCAATGATTTTGCACGGCCGAACATGATTGGTGAATCCGCTGCATAGTCAGCATAGCGCACGGACCGCCAATTAAGCTCGCGTGTCACGCCCGACGCGTCTGCGCTCGGCCTAAGCTATCTATCGGCTCTGAAGGGAAAGCATACTGCTGAGTGAAGACCTAGAAGCCTTTAACTATCGAACTGCACACTCAATTGCAAAAATGGCCTTGCTAGTCGACAAACTGCGGCCACGGTCGCTAGATGCCCTCACATACCACCCCGAGCTGTCCGCGCGACTGAAATCATTGGTAAGGCAATTCAAGCTCACACTATCCACCTCGAGTACAATCCTCACAATGATGTTTGTTTATAGGCGCAAAGCGGCGACTTCCCTCATCTGCTCATGTACGGACCATCAGGCGCAGGAAAAAAGACACGAACCATCGCAACGCTCAAAGAATTGTACGGTTCCGGAGTTGAAAAGATCAAGATCGACGCTAGAGTCTTCCAAACGACAAGCAACCGCAAACTCGAGTTCAATATAGTGTCTTCGGTCTATCACTTGGAGATCACCCCGTCGGATGTTGGAAATTATGATCGTGTTGTGGTTCAGGAGCTGTTGAAGGAGATTGCGCAGACCCAGCAAGTCGATCTCTCGGCGAAGCAGCGCTTCAAGGTCGTTGTGATCAACGAGGCCGATCATCTTACTCGTGATGCGCAGGCAGCGCTGAGACGAACGATGGAGAAGTACAGTCCCAACTTGAGGTTGATTCTGTTGGCCAATAGCACCTCCAATATTATCGCTCCTATCCGGTCCCGTACCCTGCTGGTCAGGGTTGCTGCTCCGAATGAAGAGGAAATCTGCACTGTACTGAGGAACGCGGCTAAGAAGGAAGGATGGCCTGAGGCAAGTGGGTTGAATAAGAGGATTGCTAAGGAGAGCGGGCGGAACCTTCGTCGCGCGCTCCTTATGTTTGAGGCTATTTATGCTCAGAAGTACGTCCCAAAGTGGTCTATTGAGGTGCCAGAGCTAACGTGATTTGCTTCTGCTTCTAGTGAGAAAGTTACGGATAACACACTCATCCCGCCACCCGATTGGGAAGCTTTGATTGCGTTGACTGCCGAAGAGATCCTGGCAGAGCGGTCGCCAGCTCGTCTGTTGCAAGTCCGCGCACGCTTATACGACCTTTTGACGCATTGCATACCACCGACTACTATTATCAAGGTTCGATCAGTACGTTTTAGGTGACTGTAATAGAAATGCTAACTGGGATCTAGTCTTTGACATTCAACCTGATCACAAAGGTCGACGATGCTCTAAAGCCTGATGTCATCAGGTGGTCGGCGTTCTATGAGCACAGGATCACTCAAGGCAGCGTAAGGGCTCTCATTTGCTGCATGCATGTCCAATATACACGGCTAATATCCTTCGCAGAAAGTAATCTTCCACCTCGAAGCATTCGTTGCCAAGTTCATGCGCATATACGAAAGGTTCGACTACCCCCAAATACCCCAAAACTGCTCAATTCATTCGCTAACCCGTGCACAGTTATCTGATGGGCATGGAATTCTAAAATAACGAAGATAATAATACCCAACGATTCTTAATGACTTCATTGTACACTACCGGGGGTCGTATCTCATCTGGATCACTATGGGACTCGTAGCTGAAACCCACCTCAGTATTTCTAGCATGCATTACTCCGTATCTCTTAGAAGCTACAAAATTTAGATATATCTTGCATTAAACGAATGCACACTGAAACCCTGGTCCCAGCTAACAGCAAGCCAATCAACAACACCCAACTAAGCACAAGCAACGTGCTATACTAAGCCAACCACCAACCACCAACCACCAACCAACAAATAGTACACCCTCGTAACCCCAAACCCAAGCCAACGACATGTGATCAAGCATCAAGATCAACCGAAAACAGCCAGGAACAAAACACGAAGTGGGAGTTAACTTCTCCACAGAGCCTTGGTAGAGATGACATCTTGATCGTCTAGATGGCTAGTAGATAGACTACGTCATCATCCCATGGAGGTTGATCCACCACAACCACAACCATATCCCCCGACTTCTCCCAGAAACTCTGAACTACTTACCTACCTCCGAGAATCAATTATCTATTCACCAAGTATCGTACATAAGAGAATTCTACTTTGGATAATGTCTGGCAATAATCTCATGGACATCGAGCCTGGTGGTGAGAATACGCAGTATGTCTAGCCTTACTACATTTGTTTCCAAGGTTGAAATTAGTGCTAATGGTGGTTGTACTAGGTATGAATCTATCCGGTTGTTTACGGAGACACCGGCGAAGCAGACGGGGCAGTTGGGTGGTATGTTATACTATCTTCATCTTATCCTATGGTTTTATGGCAGCCGACTAAGTTGCTCGCAGGACACTCCCAACATACCGTCAGCGAGATGAGAACAACACTTGACGACGACCGGAACGGAAACGAGGAGCAGTACAGGGATACGCCCCTGGCACGACAGCTGGAGAAGGGCGAGCGTACGACAGGTCTTACGGGAATCACAGATATAGGTAGGTACAGGTTTGATTTCGATATTTCTCTTTTTCCTAACTCCGCATATTCATATGAAAATACATCGACACCTGCGACAAAGCGGGAAAGAAAATAAAATAAAACATGACAGATAGAGAGTCTAGAAGCTGATGATGATGATAATATACACAAGACCTGAAGCCCGAAACCCCAGAAGAGGGTGCTGCGCTGGCGGCGAAAATCAGGAGAGAACAAGGGTATGGACCTGGTTCGGGCGTCGGGGCTTAAATGTCATGACGTTGTGAATGAACCGGGGTGGATTGACGTGATTGAGGGGTTTGGTTGAGAGAAAGCGCTTTGAATTATTGGGGAGCAGAGGGACTGGAGGAGGACGAGGTCGAGGTCGGGGGGTTCGGTAGGTCCTGGGTACCGAGGGCTGGGCTTCTGCGTGCGCGTTTGAGGCTCTCCAGAGTCACTCCATTGCCAAGTTTCGTCAGTCCAACGACCGGCGGGTCGCCCTTCTTCACGAATTCCCAGAGGCCTGCCGCAGTTGTATTATTAGTTCAGCGTATGTTGATAATTGGAAATATATGATTAAGTGAGAGTAACATACCGGGCAGCTTGTGACCGGCCAGACGGAAGGCCTCCCTGGCGACCTTTTCGTGCAGATCACCCTTGAGCTCAAAGACGATTCTGCTCACGCCAACCTTCGCAGTCCAGTAGTCGAACTTTCCCTTACCCTTACCCATACGCTGTTCATTGCCCTTGGTGTAGACACCGATGTTTGCGCTCACGCGCTTGTACAATGTGTAGTTCATACCCCTCAGACGTCTCTTAATCGTATCCTCTGCAATTTTCAACGACGAAGCGGGCAACCGGCGGTCGTGATCCTTCATCCGCAAACCATAATCACCCCAGACGACAGTGGTACCGCGGGAAGAACCACCAGTTGCGACATGCGGACGACCCTTCGGGGACTTGGATCTCTCAGCGAACTTAGGAGTAAGCCAATCGAGGGCAGGCGAGGTCGTCGAGAAGCATCGCGATAGCGGGAAAGCCGTGAATGGCGTCGACAGACCTACTGTACGGCATCGGAGTCAGGATATAAAAAACTTTTCTTGGGGAGGCTTGCGGGAATCTCACACGACGGCCGGAGGAAGGCCATCTGAGGCCCCGAGAACATCTTCAGCTGCGGACCCATTGTGAATCGTGGCAATCGGCCCTGCTTGGACTGAATGGGGGGACCGGAAGGATGATGGATGGACCGCAGACTGACTTTCAGGCCATCGGCTTCACTCCAGCGCCGATTCCACTTCCCGAAAGGGAAGAAAGTGCTGCGCACGTGCCACACGCGTGCCACCCTTAGGTAAGCCAATTAAGTCACGTCTCCCGCCGGCGAGCTCCAGGCAGCGCGTCGTGTTTCTTGGGAAGCTGCCTGTGCTGTGCTAGTTGGGTGTGCGTCAGCATCGTTTCTGGGTCGCTTAAAAATCCTGCTCAACCATTGCGCTCCGAGGCATGCTCCATTAATCATCTGTCGCCATGCCTGCTGATATTCGGAGCTTTTTTGGCGGCAAGTCTAGTCAAGGCTCCAACCCATCTCCCGCAAAGCCCGCGCCGAAGAAAGAGGTATGTGAATCCCCCATTGCGCATAAGCATTTCATGCTGCATGCGAATCGCCGATGAATTTACTGACATTGGTACCAAATTAGGAGCCTTCTACGAGAAAAAAGAGTAAGAGAGCTGGCTATCAGTTTTGACCCGCAATATCTTATTGATGCGCGTACAGGGACTAGAAAGGTTGTAGACGACAGTGATGAGGAAGAGGTTGTCGCAACCAAGACCGCAAGCCCGAAGGTGAAGGCTCCGAGCAAGCCGTATGTCTGCCCTAATGCGACTCTACCCGCTGTATTTGCTAACAATTACTCAGAAAGCCAGAAGTATCGAAGGGTGAACCCACAACTTCGTCAGACTATTTCGCATCTAGCAAGAAGAGAGGCAGGCCTGCCAAGGAGACCAAGACATCCCAGCCTGCAGTCACCGAAGAACCTGAAGCGAAGCCGTCCCCGAAACCGAAAAAGTCTACGAGCACCGAAAAACCTGCACCAAGACCTCAACGCGGTACACGAAAGGCTACCACAATCGTTGAAGACGATGAACTCGGTGACGATGACATCCATGCGACAGAGTACAAGAAACCAGGCAGGGGGGATGATGATTATGTCGAGGAAGAGGACAAAGAGAGTGACAGTGATTTCGAGGAACTTGCGGTAAAGCCAGCCAGTGCCGCCTCCGGAAGACAGGGACGAAGGAAGCAGGCAGCTGCTGAATCGGATGAGGATGTGGTTATGGAGGATCTGCCCAAGCGACCTTCCAGAGCTGCCAAGTCAGCCGCCTCTCAACCAGCGCGCAAACGCAAATCCGAAGTTCTCGAGAAGGACGAGGATTACGACAACCAAACTAGTCCTAAGAAGGCTGCGGAGACGAAAGCCGCTCCCCGTACCCCTAAGAAGCCAAGAGCATCTGCCAAAACAGATCGACCTGAAAGCAAGGAGATCCAGGATATATTCGACAGCATACCTACGATCAGACCACCCTCTCCTCCGCGCGAGACTGGTGAAAAGGCCAAGTTCAACTACGCTGCTCACGCACAGCGCTCGCGGTCGCCAGTAGCTGGGGGGGCGGACATACCACAAGGAGCGGAAAATTGTCTTGCAGGGCTTTCTTTCGTGTTCACTGGTGTCTTGGATACGCTCGGCCGCGACGAAGGGCAAAACCTCGTGAAGAAATATGGTGGTAAAGTTACTGGGGCACCTAGTTCCAAAACCAGCTATGTTGTCCTGGGAGCGGATGCCGGACCCAAGAAGCTGGCAACGATTAAGCAGCACAACCTAAAGACAATCAACGAGGAGGGGCTATTCGAGCTTATCCGTCGACTTCCAGCCAATGGTGGAGATGGGAAGGCGGCAGAGCAACATGAGGCGAAGAAGAAAGCCGAGGAAGAAAAGATTCGCGCGATGGCAGCTGAGATCGACCGCGAGGAGAAGCGCAAGGCGGCGGCTGCGCGCAACACGGCACCCTCAGGACCTCAACCGCCTTCAAGCTCGCAAAGTACGACGCAAAGCACGAAGACTGATGACCGCCTGTGGACCACCAAATATGCGCCGACATCGATGAATATGATTTGTGGTAACAAAGGTGTTGTCGAGAAACTACAGAACTGGCTTCGCGACTGGCACAAGAATGCCAAGGCTGGATTCAACAAGCCAGGGAAGGATGGATCAGGAATGTATCGCTCTGTCATGATTCACGGACCGCCTGGAATTGGCAAGACCACAGCAGCACACCTGGTGGCAAAGCTAGAAGGGTACGATGTCGTGGAGACGAATGCAAGTGACACAAGAAGCAAGAAGCTCGTGGAAAATGGCCTTCTCGGTGTTTTGGATACAACTTCGCTACAAGGTTACTTTTCGGGTGTTGGGAAGAAGGTGGAAAGTGCGAAGAAGAACTTGGTCCTCATCATGGATGAAGTTGACGGCATGTCCGCCGGTGATAGAGGTGGTGTAGGAGCACTTGCCTCCATCGCTAAGAAGACTCACATCCCGCTGATTTTGATCTGTAATGAGCGAAGGCTCCCGAAAATGAAGCCTTTCGATCATGTCACATATGAACTTCCGTTCAGGCGGCCGACGGCCGAGCAGATTAGAGCCCGACTGTCGACCATCTGCTTCCGCGAGGGCTTGAGGATCCCGCCTCAGGTCTTGGACAGTCTGATCGAAGGCACCAACGCGGACATCCGGCAAGTTATCAACATGCTTTCAACCGTGAAATTAGACCAGACAAACCTAGACTTTGAAAAGGGGAAGCAAATGTCTAAAGCATGGGAAAAGCACATCGTTCTGAAGCCCTGGGATATTGTCGGCAAGATTCTCAGTGCGCAAATGTTCTCGCCAAGCTCAAAGGCTACGTTGAATGATAAAATAGAACTCTACTTCAACGATCACGAGTTCAGTCCTCTGATGCTTCAAGAGAACTATCTGAAAACACGACCGGCGTTGACTGGCGCCTATCATGGCAGAGAACAGAAGCTGAAACAGCTTGAACTAATGGACAACGCTGCTTCAAGCATCAGTGATGGTGATCTCGTTGACAAGATGATTCATGGTACTCAGCAGCAATGGAGTCTGATGCCTACCCATGCCGTGTTCAGTTTTGTCCGGCCAGCCAGCTTTACGTACGGAAACATGATGGAGCGGCCCGGGTTTACTAGTTGGCTGGGACAGAACAGTAAACAAGGTTTGTGCGATCTGTTGGCTATAATAGTTTGCAGTGCTAACACCGATTATAGGCAAGCTTTGGCGTTACATCAAAGAAATTCAAGGTCATATGCGTCTTCGCGCATCTGGTGATCGAGATGAGATTCGACAACAGTATATGCCGCTCCTCTGGGACAGGCTAGTCCGCCGATTAATGGTGGAAGGCAAGGATAGTGTCGACGATGTCATTGATTTCATGGACAGCTATTTCCTTACGCGCGAGGACTGGGATGCCTTGGTAGAACTTGGGCTGGGACCTATGGATGAATCCAATGTGAAGCTGCAGACACAGACAAAAGCAGCATTCACACGGATTTATAACCAGCGCTCCCATCCCCTCCCCTTCATCAAGGCCAGCAGTATTGCTGCTCCGAAGAAGATGCCGAAGGAGAAGCCTGACCTCGAAGATGCCATTGAGGAGTCGGATGAGGAAGAGGTGCTCGAAGACGACTCCAAGGACAACGACGAGAACGAAGAGCTCGATTTGAAGAAGGACAAGTACGTTCGCGTGCCCAAGAAGGCTGCGAAGGGCGGAGCAGCCAAAGGAAAGAAATCGAGGAAGGCAGCAGCGGGCGATGATGATTTTATCGACGACGAGGAAGAGAAACCCAAGAAGGCTCGAGGCCGGAAACCCAAGGCCAAATGATCTAGAAATTGGGAGAGCGACGGAGTCATCACCTCCGGTTTATGTCCATGTATTATCAGTTCTGTTAGTATAATGAGCGGGCTACTAGCGATGTCACCATCAGCAGTGGATGATTATTGTTTTTGTGTGATTGACATAGCACTATCTTGGAACGAATCACTCCAATTGTATAATAGACCATATTATAGAATTCCAAGGTTGTACTGTGATCTCTTCATTGCTTCGTATACTGGGTAGTACCCCGCATCTATCCATCGCTAGGACCAAGAGTTGCACACTTTAAAGCATACGGGGATCCAATACTAAGGCATGTCCCTCGGTAGCTAATTTGCCTTGCATAGACTAGTGACCGTGCAAGGATAAAGGGAACCACCCCCTTGGGTCCGACAAAGGAGACGTTGGTGTGTGTGTCAGAGGAACAACAATAAGGGCAAGCGGGAAAATGGCATGGGCGGCGGCGGTGCGGAGATCGGCCACGGGATCTCCAGGCCATCCATCTTCTGCCCGCGACGGCTGAGCCTGCAAGTGCTTTTGATCCCCACACAACCTCATCGCCGCAGGACGCTCTTCCTCGTCCCTTTGCGTTGCTTATCCCTCATTTTTTTAACCATCAGGCTGGTCCTGCATTCACATCCCACGGTCGCTCTCTTTTCCTACTACTTCTTTTTTCGGCCTGCGCCAGTTCAGCGCATCCATCCATTTCCCCTTGTTGCACCAGCCCGGAGATCATGCCCACTCGAATCCCGACAGCGGTTTCGCTCTTCCTGGCGTAAATGGTCGTTCTTCCGTGATTGTGACGAGGCCTACTCTATCTCTTACTACTCATCTCTTGTCTTGCAGCGATTGTAACCATGTCTCTTCTCCACAATGAAGAGTAAGTGTCTGACCCCGCGACCCATCTCGCGTCCCCCCTCCCCTCACCTCCCCCCCAGGTAATCGCACACATACAGTGTTGGGTCAACAACTAACCCCAGTCTCAGTTTCACAATCTGGCAGTTGCGCACTTCCTATCTGTCGACCATAAAGGACGGCATAGGCGATAGGCTTATCAACGTGAACAACACCGTGCTCAACACGCCAGGATTCCGCGCAGCTGGCTGGTCTTCGGCTTCTACAAACCCCAATACGCAGAGCGCGGCTGCCCACATTAAGCGGACAAATTCACCCCCAATCCCTACTACTACGGCGGTTACCTCGGAATATTACCAGCTAGGTGTTGCCCGAGACGATGCGCAGAGATTCGGCCTGGTGGATGAAGGCGACGATGACGAAGGGGGAATGGTGACGGGGAAGACCAACACAGAGCTGATTGGGCGTCGCAACCGCGGGAAACGAGTCCACCGGAGGGAACGACAGCAGCATGAGCAACAGAAACACAGAGAAGCGGAGGACGATGACAGCAGTGACCTGAGTGATGAGAGCGACGATGATGGGGACAGTGCTCGAAGGTGAGTCAATTGGCTCAAGGGATGCATAGGACCCGTCTGTACAGCCTCATGCTCACAAGATCTAGTGCTGCGAACCAGATCAAGTTTACGAAGATGCCCATACGAACAAGAGCCGGATCTTCACCCATACGTTCATCAGACCGCCAGGAGAGTCCTCAGGTTATGGTCACGTCTCCATCACATCCGACAATGGGTACCCATTACCGTACGGGCTCATTGGGAACAGCTGTTAGCAGCATAAACGAGCGGCCGCGGCGCGATACTACGACTACAGCCAGCAGCGACATATCTTCGGACAATGACCTGGATGCATCTGCCTTCAGAAGGCGTCAGATTTCGTTCTCTAGCCATGATCAGGTCATAGAACCCGCGAGAAGGAGAAATGGCCCACCGGGCCCTCGGGACCTGGAAGAACTCCATGAGCAAGCCGAGGACTCAGGAGCTGAATCTGTGGGTTCGGCCCTGTCGTCTGATTTTGACGCAACAGCGGGTTCTGCGTCATTACTTGCAGGGGTTGGGATCACTGGTAGCTTAGATTCATCCTCGCCAGTTGCTCTGATGCACAAGCTGCAGAATGGCACGGGTTCACAGACGGCATCCCCGAGGAAACCCAGAGGCCCAGCGCCAGAGTTACAGGATCTGCCACCTCCACGGCCAATCAGCACTGTCCAGCCAGTCAGTTTGCTTTCCAAGGCACTTAATGCGCGCAAGAAAGCACCGACGAACCCGGTGGAGAAATTCGCGGTGCTTTCAGGCAAGGGCTTGACCGATGTCCTGAACATCAAACTCTACCTGCCATTCTCCGCCGATCCCGATGAACCACTCGATTTGCCAATTGCGCGCGAGTCCAAGCTTGCAGAGCAGCCTGCACCGGTAACAGTTGTTGAAGCAATCGGCTTAGCGCTTTGGAGATACAGCGAAGAAGGTCGCGAACCGGCTGTTGAACGCAGCAAGCTTACCGTGAACATGTGGACGCTGCGAATGGTGGAAGATGGCGAAGTCGAATATGATTTTCCCGCTTTAGGTCGAACATCGCCAATTGCTGACTTTACCTCGAATAACAATCGGGCAGCTGGTCGACGGACTCGGGGAAAACAGTATGATGAATTCGCGCTAGTCGAAGCATCCAAGGCGGAATTCGAAGCAAACGAGCGTCAATTCCCCCAGTTCAGCCAGACAGCTGCTTCTGAAGATAGCGGAGAGACACCTGCACCGACGAGTGCCCCGACAAGCCAGCCGGTCCCGCAAAGCAAGGCACCTCGCCCGAACCCGATTTTGGGACAACCCTTCTCGTCGGCTTTGAACGACAATACACTAACACCCGCGGATCGGCCTGCCGTGCCCACGTCCCATGCCACACCTCGCCTGGGGGTGTCAAAGACACTGAAAATCCGGTTCATCAATGTGGAAGCGTCCACCCAGGTGACGACGCTCAACACGTCTACCGACAGCTACATCGCCGAGATCCTCGATTCGGTGTGCAAGCGATGGGGCCTGGACAAGGGGAACTATCTACTGAAGGTGATGGGATCCAATACGATCGCACCGCTAGACCGCACCGTGGAAGCCCTGGGCAATATCACGGAGCTGGACCTGGTGCGCCGACGATTCGGGCCGCAGTCGCTAACGGGCTCCCCGGGCAGCTCCTCCCCGAACGCGCCGCTCCTCATCGACAGCACCAGCGCGCCCAGCAAGAAGGGGAAGAAGAGCGGACAGCGCATGCTACACCCGCTCACACAGAAGCAAGATCTCATTGGAGGATATTACCGGCGGTACTACGTCTGGCGCAAACAATCCATGGGCTTTACGCAATCCAACCACCGGATCTTGACGTTTGACAACGATTACATGCATATCATGCCGGCGGACACGGGCAAGACAGCGTCGGACACCAAGACGCGGTCGATCAGCTTCAACGATGTCGTGGGATGCAAGGTGAGCCGGCGACACCCGAAGAATTTCCGGGTGGTGGTGTTGCGCGGCAACGATGCCAACGAGCAGAAGCGGTATGATTTTGAGGCACGCAATGCGCTCGAAGCGGTGGAAATCGTGGACGAGATCAAGAAGAACATGGCGCATTATCGCATCTAAGGGACGCATTGCTATTGTTATTTGCTTGCTGTTTTATTGAGGGAACCGAGAAGTGGAAGCGAGCCCTCCGACCATTGTTTGGAGGGGGGCGGCGTTGCCATCTTTGCTACTAGGTAGGAGTACATAAGGCCGGGCAGCTTTCGGGTTGGATTTGAAGTTTGCAGCAGCATGGAGCCAGGGCTACGGGGGAATCAACAACAATTGGAACAAACAATTTCTTCTTTCTGCCACAACCCGCGAGAATAGTAACTGTAGAGAGGTAGTCTAGTGGCGGTGCGCATCCCATCCGTAGCGTGTACACTAACAGTGGTATCTTAGGTGCTAAAGTAGGTTAAGTGGATGCAAGCGTCAAGATCAGTTCATAGTGAGCCTCCCGACCAACCAAAAGGCCGCCGGACGGGGGAATTCCTGACCGGTCAGGGGGCAGCTTGATTGGCTTCAAGCCTTCAACAAAGGGCAAGCCAAATGCCCCGAAGGCGGGGCGGTTTCCACTCGCCTTTTTTGGAGGATCCACCGGGGCGGTGATGAAGTCATCTTTCAGCGGTAAGCAATTAACTAACTAGTTAACTAGTAGTTAGTTAGTTAACAAGGCAACCTATGCTGCCAGCCAGCTGCCAGCTGCCCAACATGCATGTTATTCGGGTCTTTAAAAGTAGCGACAGTTTGCATATACCATAGATAGATATTTAAGCTGTGAGAAAAAAAAAAAAAAAAAAAAAAAAAAAAAAAAAAACCCCACACGTAAATGCATTTCATACGTACCAAGACCGAGCGAGTCAAATTTCTACCAGGCGTGCTTGATGAAATACGAAAATGAGGAAAAAAAAAAAAAAAAAAAAAAAAAAAAAAACAAAATACGGAAAGTGGTTGGTTTTGCATCAGCAGTTTCATCTTCCCAGCTTCTCATACCTACTAGTACTAAGTAGTAGGAGGCTCCTCGTTTCGGAATTCCAAGCCACACACACACCAGATCTGAAAACAGTGTTTGATGATGACCTCATCGGCGCGACTCTGAACCCGGAAATAAGTTTGGGAAACATGGATCTCGATAAGCGAGAAGGAGTGGAAAAGAATGCATCATTGATGATAATGTAGCAATTGAAGGGTCCATGGATCGAGAGGAGTGAGATCGGCTGGACCCGGTGGGTTCTTCTTCTTCTTCTTCTTCTTTACTATTTGCCTGAAGCAGAGTTGGAATACAACTTTGGTATCTGGGGAAGTGTGAAAGAGAACTTGGTTCAGTTATCATCATTCCAAATGTCATGATGAGTGAGTGTATTTATGGTACCACTGCAGTTATTTGACTGTTTCTTTTTACTGTGGGAAAATTACTGGCCCAGACAAAGTATGTTTTAGCGTTGGGGTGGAGTCGACAAAGTGGTGATGGAGATAGTAGTAAGTAAGTAGCATAGCTAGCTTCTTCGACTTGTGGCCGACCGACCGCTTTTAGACATAGGGAAGGGTGAGGTGTTATATTATCAACTTGCCTTTAGATGCCTTTAGATGGGTAGTTGTTTCGGTTAAGTTCATGTTGTAACGTGGAATAAGCGCATTTGGAAAAGAGAGAATTAAACAAACATCTAACAAATAACTACTCTCTTGATGAAATGATTGACTGACTGACTGACTGACTGACTCTCTGTCACTGTCCACTAAGCCCAATTCATGCCGATTCACGCCAATCCAACCCCGCCTCTCTCCTCTCTCTTTCTCTTTCTCTCCCTTTGCTTTCCCTTTTTCTCTAATTTTTCCCACTCTCTCTGTCCATCAAACTAATCAGAAAATAATTATAATGAAATAGGATAAATTATTGCGGTGCTTGTGCTCGTAGTTATTTTTTTTTTTCCAGCTAGTAGTAGTAGTAGTAGTGCTGGTGGTCACTGCAGCATCTCTTTCCCTCCCCCCCCCTCTCTCTCTCTCATCTCCTCTCCTTCTCCTCTCCTCTCTCTTTCTCCCCCTCACATCCTGCCATCATCATCAGCATCATCATCATTGATCCTCCCGCACACCAGCCATACTACTACTCTCTCTCCCACCCCGGTCCAACCCATCCTCCCAAGAGGTTCCCACACTCCCCCCGCGTTACACATTTCCCTTTTCTATCCGGTCATCCTTACGGTTGCCCGTCTGTCCAATTGAGTTTCCGTTGACCGCCGTTCGGGACCAGTGTTTTGTTCAAGTTCAGTACAGTTCAGTTCTGTTTGGGGGGCTCCGCTGTATCCGCGCCCGAACCCGTCCCAAAGAGAAAAAGCTCGCCGCTTTCCCTCTCCATATTATTATTACTCTTACTGTGTTGCTTCCTTTCCCTTTACCCCCCCCCCCTCTCTGAGAGCATCTCTTAAAGAGGGGTCGCGTTGATCGGCTATCGCACGCATCTTTTGATTCTCCCTTACTTATTTTTTTTTCCCACGTGGAAAAAGACCATCGTGGGCTTTAACATTTAATAAATCTTAACTGCCTACAGCAGCGTTTTCTCCATGCCTAGTTTAGGAGGTTTGCTGAAAAAACGGCGAACGAAAGATTCGCAGACCCTCTCCAAAGAGCTTGAAGCCGGTTCGGCCCAGACGCAGACGTCACCAAACGCTGCCGAAGACCACCACAACCACAACCACAACCACCACCACCACCACCTCTTCCACCACCACCATCAACCCCAACCCGCCACCAATTCTGGCTCTTCTACGAACCCCCCCGCTCAGCCTCAAAATTCCGTTCCTCAACAACAGCCCAATCGGTCTTCGGGTGCAGACAAATCCTCCGACGGTCAGGTAGCCTCCATGCAATCCGCTGTGACGCAAGCCTCGCCGTCTGCCCATCATACCTCTGGCCTCCCGCAGCCCAATGCCAATGCGGCTAGTATACAGAATATAATCCATCCCTCCCAGCAAGGCGCCATGCATTCGGCTTCCAGCGGTCATGCGCAGTCTCACCACGCCGCTCGCAGTGATGCCCGCACCACTAAAGGGAAATACTCTCTGGATGACTTCACCCTTCAGCGCACCCTCGGTACCGGTAGCTTCGGTCGCGTGCACTTGGTGCAGTCGAAGCATAACCACCGCTTCTATGCCGTCAAGGTGTTGAAGAAGGCGCAAGTGGTCAAGATGAAACAGATTGAGCACACTAACGACGAGCGCCGCATGTTGAACCGCGTGAGGCATCCATTCCTAATTACATTATGGGGTACATGGCAGGATTCCCGGAACTTGTACATGGTCATGGACTTCGTAGAGGGTGGTGAACTCTTCAGTCTGCTCCGCAAGTCACAGGTGGGTTAATTCTGACTTGGCCCGCCCGACCAACGTAAAGCTGATGTCTGGTACCTCTTTTCATGTAGCGGTTCCCCAACCCCGTCGCCAAGTTCTACGCGGCGGAAGTCACTCTTGCCCTGGAGTACCTCCACACGCAGAACATCATCTATCGGGATTTGAAGCCTGAGAACTTGCTGCTAGACCGACACGGCCATTTGAAGATCACCGATTTCGGTTTTGCCAAAGAGGTGCCTGACATCACATGGACCCTTTGTGGTACACCCGATTATCTCGCCCCGGAGGTGGTTTCCTCCAAGGGCTACAACAAGTCGGTTGACTGGTAAGGGTTGCCATTATTGATGTTCATGCCCCTTTGGCGCAATTACTGACAGTATCCAAGGTGGTCCCTGGGTATCTTGATCTTTGAGATGCTGTGTGGTTTCACGCCTTTCTGGGACAGTGGCTCCCCGGTCAAGATCTACGAGAATATCCTGCGTGGTAGGGTAAAATACCCGCCCTACTTGCACCCAGACGCCGTTGACCTGCTGTCGCAACTTATCACGGCTGATCTGACCAAGCGCCTGGGAAACCTCCATGGCGGCTCCGATGATGTCAAGAACCATCCTTGGTTTGCCGAGGTCACCTGGGACCGTTTGGCCCGCAAGGATATCGATGCTCCTTACGTGCCTCCCATCCGCGGTGGCCAAGGAGATGCGAGTCAGTACGACCGCTATCCGGAAGAAACTGAACAGTATGGCATGGCTGGTGAAGACCCGTATGTGCTCCTTTCTCAATCCGTTCCATTCTATGATGAACACATTACTCACTTTTCTCTTCTTCAGACACGGCCATTTGTTCCCAGACTTTTAGTGTGTGCTATGAGTTATGATGGAATGATTGTCTCGTTATCGAGATGGCATCGTGCCATCCGATGATCCTGCGAGCCCTGTAAGACAGGACTATCTCGCTAATCCTTTCCCTGCGCTACCGATGGTAGCATCCACTTCACCATTCGTTGCTTTCCCCTTGACGTCGGTTTGTCTTCGTTTTCGATCGCTGGCCGACTTGCTTTTTGGCTGCCTTTGACGTAGAGCATACATCTAAGAGCTCTGTCATCCTCAGCGTATGCCTTCACCATCTTTCAAAGTATACGTGATGGTCTTGTCTGTTTGCTTTTCCGGTTTCCGGACCGTTGGTGGTCTGCATATAAGCTTACCCTTATACTAGTTCTGGGGAGATCTGATGAGTGGATGATCCCCCGGTGGTCTTATCTAGGTGGGCATTGTCTATATTTCCTCGCGTTATGCCAGGCAGGAGGGTGTTTGCGGTGGTGTTTGTGCTGGAAGCTTCGGGGGGTCCTCGTGATTATGTCGACCGTTGACTGGTGAACTGGTCACCGACGGCGCCCGTTTCTTTCTTCCATTTCTCCTGCTTATTTTATAGTCATATTGTGCAAATACTGGGGAGCTACTCTGGGTTATTCTTGATGTCATCTTTCCTTTTATCCCTTTCCCTGTCCCTGTGGAGGCAGTTGTATAATGTACATATTTGATTTGGCCATTGCAATAAAAGTAGTCTTGGATAATTGGACGCTGGTCCCCCAACAGTGTCATCATAAGCATAGCCTGCCATCCAAGGCTCTATCTTTTTCAAAACGCCACCGGCAGCCCGAACCAAAACCGTCCGTCCGTATAATATACACACAAATATCATCACACCAGTGGCCACTGCCGCATATCACACCAGTCAATGAAAAAGACCTCTAGATCGGATCACAACATGGCCAAACACATGGTAGAGAAATGGACCACTCCCAACCAAGCACGGATATCAAAGAAGCGTATATGATAGCAAATCACAGCGCAAGCATCCTCTTCTGCTCGGTGCCCACGCGACGGGTATATGTGCGGCTAACGGTGTTCCAGAAGGCGATGTACTTTTCCATGCAGTCGGTCAGGCAGGCCTGTTCGCCGGCGGACATGGAGGTTCCGGGATTGGGAACGCAGGCTTCGAAGCAGTGTTCGTTGACGTTCTATTAGAGGAGACAAGTATGTTAGCACAATATCTTGAATTACATTCTCCTGGATAAGGATGTAACGTACGGAGATCAGAGTGCGGGCGTTGCTCATAGCGGACTCGGCCTGGACCTGCTTGAAAAGGGCCTCCTTGACTTCCTTGCTGGAGGAGTCGGTGGAAGGGGAAGAAGAGCCGCCGAAGATACCCATTGTGAAAATTAGTGATGTGTGAATGTGTGTAATAGAGATGTTAGGGTCGTGGTTGTGTGGGATAATGCAAATGGTAAATGGATGGATGTAATACGTAGTATGCAGTATATAGCAGTCGATGAGACAAGATCTTTTGAGCTCCGACGGAGGTGTGGCTAGTGAGCCACAAGGAAAAAGGAAAGTAAGGTTGCTGCGCCACCGCCCCGGCAGATGTGGACACTTGGAGTTCTACACTTCCTTCCCATCGCCCAGCTAAGTTATATTATAACTACTCGGCTTTCTTTCTTGCGTCGATCTCTGATCTGTCCCCTCCTCTCCGCTTCTTCTTCTTCTTCCTCTTCCTCGTTGACTAAGTTTCCCCGGTGTTCGTTCTTTCATTTATCCTCCTTCACACCTCCATTTCCCGGATCTAGCTCTTCTATTTACTCAATTGAAATCCCCCGCTCACCCTTGGTTTTGTTGATGTCCCGGTGACAATTGACGATATCGCCTACTCTATTAGCTGCAGTCTATCTTTCACCCACACCTACACTTATCTTTCTTGCACGGTCGCTTGGCTTGGATCTTACTTAAAAGGTCTACTCTGCGCTTGTTACTCGGCAATCATGCTACTTCCGCGGCTTTCGTCCCTTTTGTGCTGGGCTGGCTTGGCCAGCGTGCCTCTGGCCAGCGCCTACGATGGTGATGACAATGTCAAGAGCATTCCGGTGTGTATGCTGCTATTTCTGGCTCTAGGGTGGTCTGCTAACTGTTGGGGATAGCTTCGCACGCACAGTCTTTCACCGGTACGTAGCTTATAGCTACAGCTAAGCCCGCGCATCATATTAATGTCTTCGCAGCCATACTTGGATTCCGACTTCCAAAGCCGCTGGTTCGATTTTGGTGGTGACACGATAGTTCGTGCTGACAAGTATGTTCGCCTGGCTTGTGGGTAGAAGGAATTGGGAGAAAGCTTATACTGAACGACTTCCTAGATACATCCGTCTTACGTCCGATCGTCCGTCGCAGCAGGGATGGATCTTCTCCCGTGTGCCTTTGACCGCGACGAACTGGGAGGTTAGTTGATGCGCTTTCCCTGGGCTTAGGATGCTTCTGATATGTGTAGATCGAGGTTGAATTCAAGATCGAAGGGTCCGGCAACTTGCACGGCGATGGCTTTGCCATGTGGCTCACCAAGCAGCGCGCCACCCAGGGTCCTGTCTTCGGTTCGACGGACAACTTCGAGGGTCTGGGTATCTTCTTCGACACGTACAAGAACAACCGTCCCGGCACTTCGTTCCCCTACGTCATGGCCATGATGGGCGACGGCCAGACTACCTACGACCAGGCTCACGATGGAAAGGCTAATGAACTGGCTGGCTGTTCTGTAAGTGTAGTGTGCAGTGATGGTGTGAATGTTAATCTAACAGTTGGTATAGGCTCGTGGTCTCCGTGGTGCCTCCATCCCTACCAAGGCCCGCTTGACTTACTTCCAGGACAAGTCCTTGACCCTGGACCTGCAGTACAAGTCCGAGGACAGCTGGATCCCCTGCTTCGAGCTGACCGCCCCCGAATACAACATCGCCATCCCGTCCGTCGCCTACCTGGGCTTCTCCGCTGAGACTGGTGAGCTTAGCGACAACCACGACATCATCTCCGTCAAGGCCCAGAACCTGTACAGCGTTGGTGGCAGCAGCGGCAGCAGTGGCAGCGGTTCCCGCTCGGGCAAGGGCCGTGACACCGGCCGTGTCAAGCGCCGTAAGCAGAAGGGCAGCTGGGGATGGTTCCTGTTCAAGACTGTTCTGTTCTTCGCTGTGGTTGTTGGAGGCTATGTTGGGTACACTGCGTACCGCACCAAGCACCGCTACTCGCGGTTCTAGATGTGGCAGAATGAGGAGATTGAGAGAGAAACAGAAGCAGAAACAGAACAGAAAATGTGTCATTTATCCTTGCATAGCCGTGTCGCGTTATATCAGTTGTATCTATCTATGATCTTGCTTGCTTCCTTGCAACGCGAAAAGTTGACGACCAACCCAGTAAACAAAGTACATAGTAGGGTATCATAACAAACGCCAACCCAAACACTATACACCAAAAGAACTCAATGGGTATAATACCATCACCAACCATACTACTAGTTTCCTTTCTTCCTCTCCTCACTCCACATCTGATCCACAATCTGAAACACCTCCGTCACACTCTTCAACACCCGCTCATCAATCCCCAACTTCCCATACCGATGTTGAATCTTATCCGGATGCCACCGCACCCTCTCCGTCTTCAACAGCCCCAGCAACCCACCACCCCCATCCCTATCCCCATCTTTATCCTCACCATCCTCATCAACCACCCTCGCACACTCCCTCATAAACTCCTCCACCTCCTTCCTCCCCACATCCCTCCTCTCCCCACTCTCAACCGGCCAAAACACCACCTCCTCAAACCTTCCCCCTTCACTTCCACCTTTAACCACCCCATCCAACTCCCCCCAACAAGCACAATACCTCCCCCAAACCCCCCTCCCCCCTCTCCTCCTCTTCCTCTCCCTCCCCCTCCTCAAACTCTCCTCGACCGCCCTCTCCCACTCCCCCCTCTCCCTCTCCCTCCTCCTCTCCTTCTCTCTCACCCTCCTCCTCTCCTCCCTCATCCTCTCCTCCTCAGCAAGCATCCCCTCCCTCGTCCGCTCCCACATCTTCCGTCGCACATACGCCGCGTACTCCTCCTCGTCCATCATCTCCAGCTCGCCATTCGGCCCCTTAGGCACCTCCGGTACTGAGTATGTGTGGATCGGTTGGCCGTAGACCGACTCCCAGTATGCGGCGCCTTCGTCGTCGCCCAGCGCGTCGAAGAGGGATTCTCGGAAGGCGGTGCTGGGGGAGAAGCGTGATGTTGTGGGCTGTGATGGGGAGGGTGGTGGTGAGGTGGTAGTGTGTTTGCGGCGGTGCGGGGCGCGGTGTTTTTTGCGTTTGGGGGAGGGGGTGCGCTGGTGGTCTTTGTGGGAGGAGGAGTGATGGTGGCGATGGCGCTTTCGGGAGGGGTCTTTGAAGCGGAATTTCGTGGGGCGAGAGTGTGCGTTGGTGGTGTCTGGTGTAGGTGAGGTTGGGGTTGTGGTTGTGTCGGGGGGTTGTGCTGGTGGTGAGGTGGTCATTTTTGTGGTAGGGTTGATGTGGGCTGGGAGATTGGGTTATTGTGAGATGTGGTAATGAAATGGTGTTTGTTAGAGCATTGCGCTGGGTGTAGAAGGTGTATAGTATTGTCTGAAAAAGAAAGAGTGTATGGTGTAGATGGTGGAGAGAAAGTGATTGATTGGAAGGAGCGACATTTCGAGGGACCTGAGTAAGCCGATCTTATCTTATCTGATCTTGAATATTTCCATATCGTTGATGATGTCATTGCTCTTGACCTTTCTTTCCTATCCATAGTACTCTTATCATTTACTGAATAGTCACTAGAGAATCTAACACCCTCCTAGTATTGTCCATCTCTCATACTAACCCCCAAACCCATCGAGGGTGGCATCAACCCACTGCACCGAACCCTGCACAGCTTACTAATCTCAAACATAACTCATCCGCAATCTCGCTCCAACCCGAGAATATCACTTCGCCGCAGCTCCAATTCATCCATCCAACTTTCTCTCTCCCAACCTCCAACCACACATCACCACGACACCCAAAACCTACCTACCCACCATGGCTCTCGTCGCCTACTCCGACTCCGAAGCCTCAGACTCAGAGCCCGAAACCACCGTCCCTCAACCCCAACAAGCCCCGAAGAAACCCACCACCACCACCACCACGACCGCAACGACAACCACCAGCACCAGCAACAACAACAACAACAACAACAACAACAACAAACTCGTCGACCGCACCAACCCCCGCAAAATCCGCGTCGCATTACCAGACATCAAACCCGAACACAACGATGACACCGATAACCCGCGCAAGAAACCCAAACTAGGCGGCAGTGGCGGCGGTGCATTCTCCGGCTTCAACTCATTCTTACCTGCGCCGAAGAAAACCACAACTACTACCACGAGCAACAACAGCGCGACGGAGAAAAAAGCGCCCGCGCGCAAGATATTCAGTCTAAAGACGGGCGCAGCGCCGGGGTTCGATCGCGAGGCGGATGCGGAGATGCGGAATGAGCGGGCGTTTGGAAACCTAGGTAATGGTAATAATAATGATGAAGATGAGACGATACCCAAGGCGGGAAGTATGAGGGATCAGGAACTGGATTTCGGGAGTGAGGACAGGAATGGGGGAGGGGAGGAGGAGACTGTACCGCAGATGAAGAAGCCAGAGGAAGTTAAGTTGAAGGGTAACCCGATGATGTTCAAGCCCTTGTCTGTGGGGAGGGCGTCGCAGCAGAAGAAGAGGAAGGCTGTTTCGGATCTGATGCCTGCTGCTGCGAATGTACGGAGGATAGAGGATGGGTTGGCGGCAGCTTCGTCTACATCTACATCTGCATCTGCATCTACAGCTACGCCTGCGGCGGCGGCAGCACCACCACCATCAAAGCCCAAAATCAGCCTCTTCTCCCTCTCCACCGACAACGACGACAACTCTACCTCTACACCCACAACCACATCAACAGCACCATCAGCAACAACCTACGAACCCCTAGTCTACACCCCGCGCAACTCCGCTCCCGCCGGGCCCTCCCCCGCCCCCGAAGACACCACCACGACACAGCAACCCACATACCAAACCACTACATCCGACAACAACAACACACTCAGCACCATCGCCGACGACCTCAACCTCTCGAAAGCCCAACGACGCCAACTCTTCGGCCGCAACGCACCTGAATCCGTCGCAGCTAGTTCCCGCGTCTTGCACTTCAACACGGACCAAGAGTACGTTACGAACCAGGAGCTGGCGCACACGGAGCTGGCGGCGCAGCAACATAACCCTGTCAGGGCGATTGCGCCGGGTAAGCATACGTTGCAGCAGTTGGTTAATGCGGCGAGTACGCAGCGTGAGGCGCTGGAGGAGAGCTTTGCTGCTGGGAGGAGGAATAAGAGAGAAGCGGGGGCGAAGTATGGGTGGTGATTACTTTTGTAGGGTATTGGATGTGTGTATAGTGTAGTGTATGTAGTTGGTGAGGTGGGGGTTGCATGGATGGAGTTTATGAGTTCTATTTGAGTTATTGATATGGAGTTTGTTTGATGGTAGTTGAGCTTTGGGTATCAGAATAGTAGTTGATATAGTCTGTCAGTCCTATGAGATGGTGGAACTACCAATCATAACCGGGAAGTTAAAGAAATAGATGCAATAAATGAAATATTCTAGATACATTCGAAGCTGTATATACATCTAAACCATAATAAGAACTATAACATGCTAACTTTTCTTCTAAACAAACAACAATAAATCAATGGTTTAAGACGACACATCTACCACCTCAGCAAACCATTGCTTCAACGCCGTGGCCAAAACAGCCGGTAACTCCCTGACATCCCTAACAACAAGGTAATAAGGGAACGGGAAACCCTCTAGATATCTCTTCATCCTCAACTTCATCTCCCCACTACCATCATCCTCAAAGCTCGCCTGACTCAGATCCAAGATCGAGCTACCCTTTACAGCATCCACAATGATAAACACAATCATAATGCGCTCCTCCTGTGCCTGGCGCACCAGCCGCTGAATAGTCTCGTGGTCTTCACAGATACCATCAGAGATGATCAGCTCCAGCTGCCAGAGGTCCGCGTTTCCACTACCGGGGGACTGCTTCCAGCGGGCCTCGCGGAAGAGGGCAATGGAGTCGGCGATGAGCTTGCGCACGTTCGTGCCGGTCTGCTGGTAGCTGAAGTGCTGGAAGACTTGGGTGCCGGCCTCGGAGGAGAAGGGCTTGCCGAACTCGTGGGCGACGCGGACGTGGTCTTCGTTGCCGAAGCCGAGGACGCAGAGATCGCCGGCTTCGAGCATGCTGAGACTCTTGGCTACTAGAGCGAGGGTTTCGAAGGCGAGTTGGCCGCTGCCGCTTTCGAGCATGGACTTGCTGTCGTCAACGGCGAGCATGATTTGGTAGTTGCGCTTCGAGGGGATGGAGCGGCGCATCCAGATCTTGTCGCGCTTGTACTGGGAGGCGATGTAGGGGATGATGCGCTTGATGTTGAGACGCTTTCCGGTGCGGAAGTCGCCGCGTAGCTTGGTGGCTAGTGTAGGGGCCAGAATGAGACGGAGTTGTTCCGTCAGGGAGAGGGAGAGGTCGGTGGTGGCTGATTCGTAGTAGGACCAGAGACGTTGGGCCTCGTCGCGGGGGGTCAGGGGAGGGAGGTTGGAAGAGAGGTGGATGGCGGCGAGATGGGCGTCGACTTCATCGAGCTCCTCGTTTAGTTCTTGTTGACCGGTAGTGTCGGTGGTCCGTTCCTGGGTCTGGGTGTTGCCAGGAATCATGGCACCGGCCATCTGTGACTCGGAGGGAAGACCCTGATCCAGCTGCATCTCATCTTCGAGCTTGTTGTCTGGGAGCTGCTGTTGGTCGTCGTCTGTGACATCCGGCAGCACGTCGTTGCCTTCGGGTTTGACGTCCGACTCGACTCCCTTGTTCTGGTCCAGAGCCTTCGCCTGTTCTTCACTGGCTTGACCCAGAGCTTGGGTGTCTGCCACGTCGTCTTGGTCGCGGAGATGTTCGAAGTCAGCGTCGGCCATGTCTGCGTCCTGGGGCATGGGATCCTCAGTCTCGCCCTCTTCTTGTTTGGAGGACTCCATGATCTCCTTCTGGCGGCGGTGCCATTGTTCGAGAACGTCACCCAGCTTCTTGAAAGCCTGCAGTTGAGGGTCGTCTGGGTTTGCATCATTCGCACCACCCTCTTCTTGGTGCCTTTGGTTCTCGTCACCCTCTTGGGCTGCACCGGTCTGCTGCTCCTTCTGGTCGGAAGGATCAGTTGAGCCGTTCTCCTGCTGTGCGTTACCAGACGCGCCCTTCTCTTGGTTCTGGTCTTGATCAGCCCCAAGGCCACCATTGACTGCTTCACTGGGAGCCACTTCCTCTCCGGCCATCTCGTTCTCGTCGCGCTGGGCCAGGAAGTCCTCTTTTTCCTCTTCAGCCTCCTCGCCGGCTTCCTCCGCCTCGTCATTGCCCTCGCCTTCATTGGTCTCGGCGGCCTCCTCGTCCGGCATGCCCTCCTCCGTCTGCTCGGGCTCCTGTTCCTCGGCGCCTTCTCCTTCCTCCATGGCCTCATCCTCGCCAACATCCTTTCCGTCCATTTGCTGCTCATTGTTCTCCTCAAGAGGGGGAAGATCGTCATCCATGCCGTCAAGGCCATCGTCACTCTCATTCTCTTCTTCGCCCTTCTCTTCGCCGTCGAGTTGCATTTCGTCCGGAAGGTCCAGGGCCTCTTCTTCCTTCGCCTGAGGATCGGTCACATCCATATCCTCACGTCCCACGGCTTCGCCTTCATCATCAGGCTTATCTTCACCTTCCTCATCTTCTTCCTCCTCCTCGTTCTCGTCCACCTCACCCTGCTCGCCTTCCTGGGCCTTCTCCTTCTCCTTCTCCTGTTTCTTCTCCTCGGCCGCCGTCTGTTCGTCAGACTCGGCCTGACCCTTGCCTTCATTGGTCTCAGTCTCCTTCTGCTTGTCGTCGTGCTCACCGTCCCACATCTTTTCATCAACAGCCGTAGCATCGAGATCATCAACACTGCCGACTTCCTCGTCAATGTCGCCATCTTCCTCTTCGTCGCCGCTTTCATTGTCTTCCTCGTCGCCTTCTTTCCGCTCGCCTTCTTCGCCCTGCATTTCCTCATTGTCCATGTTCACTGCGTCTTCTGAGTTTTCGAGGTCCTCGGTAGACTCGCCCTTTTGCTCCTGAGCAAGCTCCGACAGATCCTCGTCATCTCCAACATCTTTGCTGATGTCTTCAGCACCTTCACCCTCTCCCAGACCAGTGCCGCTCTCGAGCTTGCCGGATTTGCTCTCCTCCGTAGAAGCTTCTGCGGGACTACAGAAGCCTTCGGAAGCGATTTGAGCGAAGCACTTGGTGAGAATGTAGGACATTTTGCAGGTCTCTCGGTGTACAACCAAGTAGCGATCCACAACATCTTTGCTGATATGGAAGTACTTGTGCATGATAGGCAGCAAGCTCGTCACAAGTGCGACCGCAAATGGAATGCCAGAACCTGAGCCAGCCTGGATGTGCTGCAATTGATCAAGAACAGATTCAAGCGAGGATTTGATGCCAGAGATATGAAGGGCCTTCAAGGATTTGACGAAGAACTCGTCACTCCGCGCCAGAGAACCAGGA